TGCCAGGAGCCCCTAGTAGCGTCCGTGCTACTAGTCTTCTTTGTTTCTTTTCCTTTAGACCTTTAGACATTCTTTCCTTTCTTTCCAAGCCTCTGATGATTTCTGACGAATTGGGTTTAGCATCAGCAGCATCAGCTTGAAGTTGAGTTTCCTTGAGGCGCCACACAATATTTATTTGAGAAGAGATGGACAGCCACCCCACATGATGGAGGAGATTCGATAAAAGAGAGATTAACAAAAACAAGCTAAGGGCCCCTTTCACAGGGCTTCTTGAAGTGGGGCCTTTTTGAAGGCGGCTCTTATCTCCTTTTTTTAAACCCCGTTCTTTTTCTATGTTGGTCGAATTCGTTGGGAATTTATTCCGGCCGAAGTTTTGATGCGAAGGCAAACATGTCTACCTTTAAGTTAGGAGGAAGGATCGTCCTTAAGAAGGCCCGAACAAATAAACATCTTCTTTGCTGGAGATGCTAAAGAGTTCTGCAGTTGCAAGCGGTGCTTTCACACAGGCCTTTTCAACGCGGTTGTGGCAGGAATACACGACGCTGATTGCACAACGCCTTGCTCGGCAGCTGCGCCTGGCCCTTGGGCTTGATCATTCTCCCATGATCCATATCTATCAACAAAACTAAGTCGATGGGATGCTGAAGTCGCTACAAAACTAAGTCGCTACTATTCACCATTCTGATCCGATTGTGTATTTTGAGGCGGGGCATGCCTGTGCTGGAGTCGTGCTGAGCAGAAGAGGCCGTCACTTTCGGATTGGTCAGCTCGAGTCCGCAGCTCGCTGGTGTAGGTCAGAGCTTTATTGGTGTCTTGGACGAGCTCAATCTGGGGAGGCTTTGAGTTTTTTTTTTCATTTTCATTCTCTGCATTTGTCATTGGACCTTTTTGTTGGTGAACCGGTGAAGCGGCTTGTAGCACTCTTCAGGCTTTGGTAGCGATTTTCCATGACGTTTCTGCTCGTGAGAGTTTCGAAGAGTTCTGAGCCTATTTTGAGATTGAAGACTTGAGTTCCCTTGTGATTGTATTATGCTGCTTTAGTGACCTTATTTCACTGGCCCACAGCCAGGTGGAAAGGAGCGCATGCCCCCAAAGAAACGGTAACCGGTAGGTTAGAGGCTCAAAGTGAGCAAAAATGCGCGCAACATGGCTCCATGTGGCGAACGAGCGCGTGCCAACCGAAGGAATGATCCTTCAACTTGAGGGCCAGGCGAAAGGAAGGATTCATGGCGAGGGCCTAGTTGTCACTTGAAACGTTCGACAAGTCGAATCAACCTTGATTTGCAAGCGACTGGAAACTCCAACACTTCTCTAAAGGGGGACAAAAACAACCCTTAAAGGTTGGAGGCCATCGCTAGTAGTTAAGTTTCAAGAACAACCCTTAAAGGGGACAAAGTTCTAGGAACCAAATCATTAAGCCTGAGCCCTTTGCGTCCAAGCCTTTTCTAGCTCCTTAGTAGGTAGTAGCTCTACCCATCTCTACCCCCTCCCCCTCCTTTGGCGCATTCTTCCCCCTTCTTCCGGAGCAAAGGGTTCACAGGCAGGTGTATGTATGACGCTCCGAGATATGCCAGGCTCCTTCGAGGAAACCGCAAGAAGCGAAGTCTAGCGAGGAAGCGTAGTAGGACAAGGAAAGGATAGGTGAGGATCGGGAAGCCAGTAGGACAGGTGAGGATCGGTGTAGATGATGCAGTGAGTATGGAGGAGGAAGAGAAAATGGATGATGCTGTGACAATGCTGTGCATGTTGTTGTTGTTGTTGTTGTTGTTGTTGTTGTTGTTGTTGTTTTGCATGGTTTTCGTTGTTTTCGTTTTGCATTCTTTCGCCGGTGATGTCACGCTTCGTCACCGATGATGTCGTGGAATTCCCATGTTCATGATTTTTCATGTTTATGTCAACTGTTCATGTTTTTTGCTCTTTTTAACATATATTGTTGTAGTGCTCGACTCAGCTGTGACCTGTTTGTAGGCTGGAGATCTCAGTAGCTTTTTGAGCCCAAACCGAGATCCGTTTCTGGCTCAGAGCTTTGAGACTGAAATGTATTTGCAGTACAGTAATGCAGTTACCGCTAGTACTACAGAAGTTTCCCAGACTTTCACTTCTCTTGTAAGTGTTCAGTGTTGCTCTTGTTCATTTCTGCCAGACACCTGTTTTGTGCTTTGTCCCCGCACCACTTGAAAGAAACGCTTAAACACGTCTCAGGAATTACTTGCGCATCGAAGAGGTCGCCCAAAATCCATGGTTTCGGCAGATGGCCAGGCAGACTGCAAGCAAGTCTAGTCAAATCTAGTCCTCTAGCGATGGCCTCCAACCCGATAGTCATCATGGCCTCCAACCTATTTGCGATGGTCTCCAACCTAGTGGCGATTGTAGTCAAATCTACTAGTCACCAGTCACCACGCTCCCCTCCAGCGGTGGTTCAAAGAAGGGAATGTGGAGACTCGGTCACCCGGCTCACCTCCGGTGATTGCCAGGTTTGGTTTGTCGGTTTTCAATTTAAGAAGTGAGTGCACACCTGTAGCAAATTGATGTTTGCTTTTTGAAAGCCATGTTACCCAAAGAACAGCCATACTGTCATACCCATACCTTTTGGGAAACACAGTGGGTGGTGCTGGATTATGTGATCGACAATAGAAGCATGGCAAGCTGGGTTTAATCAGTTTGGTCAGTCATCTCAGACGTCTCCTTTCACGAACTCAGCGTTATCAGGCTTGCAGACCAGTGGCGATACACGAAGGAGATGCGACCTGGGGCAGTCGTTTCGCAGACAAAGAAGACGCTCCTGAGCAAAACTTCCATCTTAAGACATTTCAGGAATTGATTCCTTAGGAAGCTACGAACGGCGCTCCTGGCATCACTACTAGGAGCAAGGACGCTACTAGGGGCCCCTGCCGTACTACTAGGAGCAAGGACGCTACTAGTAACAAGAAGCTATTAAGACATTTCCTCATTTCTTGGAAGCATCTTCCAACGGGTCAGGAAGGCAGCATTCGTCCAACCCTTCATATCGATGTCCATGGATGTCGGGATCCGCGCCTTGGTCAGGTATATCGACAACTTACTTTTGATTCTTTAAATTATTAAATGTATCTCTTTTCAAAAAACAACAATAAACCTAAAGGCGATGGCCTCCAACCGAATAGCGATGGCCTCCTACCGAATAGCGATGGCCTCCTACCTAATACAACCTAAAACCGATGGCCTCCTACCCAATAGCGATGGCCTCCAACCTACGAGCCAATTTTTTTTATTCACCATTTGTTTGTATGTTGAATTCAATCGCGACGATTTCCAGCATCAAAGAGTTTGTTTTTGTGCAAGAAACTTTGAAAGAGTATACGTTTGAAACCAATTTGAATCCTCTATATCATGCTTTCATCATGTTTTTCACATACGCTTGGCCTCAAACAAATACAACGTGCATAAGGCCAGCAACTCCATCACACATCACAGTGGGCTTGGCGGCGATGCACCAAGAGGAGCCAAGCTGGGTTTTCTCTCCAAACGGCTTCAGGAACACATGAAAGTGCTCTTAGGTAAGACAGCTGAGTCAACCCAAACTCCATGTTTTCCGGGGTTCTTGATGCAAGCTTTGCGAGTTGTTCGTTCAGGTGGTGGCAAAGCGAAGTCCACTGTCTCAGAGCCGGTTGGAAAACTTTGCGCAAACCCTGCAGGCAGGACACATGGGAGCATTTGGTGAGCATCAAAGATTGGAGCAGAAGGCAAACTGATAAAATTCATGAGAAACAGACGGCCGCACTACAATACCCACACGAACAACCAGAACAGCAACAGCAACAGCCGCAACAACAACCTACTAGCGATGGCCTCCAACCTACAAGGCAAATATGTTGATGATGCCTTCAAATGCCTTCGACATAGGGGTCTATTGGTTTTGAGCTGCGACCTCTGGGGAGTTGAGCGTTTTCGACGACTTTGGCCACAGACGAATCAGAGAGAATTTCCACCAGTGACGAGAAAGCTCCACAGCTGGCCACGAACTGGCCACAGATCGACCTAAAGCAGTGAGGGAGAAGACGAGGCACCAGATAGCACCCTTTTCTTTTCCAGCCTGAACTTGTTGAAACTCTGTCCCAATCCATCCAAATCTGATGAAATCATCCATTATGGGCCATAACCCGGTCGAGCCGCTTGATGTGCAGGTGGAACTCACCTCTGTCCTGGGGAACCTCGACTTGCGGCCGCGGTGAGCTCGGGTCTTTGTGCCGCGGTGAGCTCCGTGTTGTGTTTGTTCTGCTTCTGTCGCAGGGCACAGTCCGTGCGGGTTTTGCTGCAAGCAGGCAGGGCAGGGCAGGGCAGGGAGGAGGGCATCGCTACTAGGAACAAGAAGCTATGCTACCAACAAGAAGCTATTAGGTTGGAGCCCATGGCTGAATCTCCCGGCCAAGGCGGCGAATGTCGCCGCTAGGTACTGTTCTTTTTGGAAAGCCGGTAGGCTGGTATGACTGAAGCTAGTAGAAACAAGTGCCACGCTAGTAGTAACAGGTGCCTTACTAGTAGTAACAATGTTTGCTATTAGGAACAAGTGCTCAAAAAGAGGAAAAAAAATGGGCACCAAACGGACTGGGCCCCGAGGTTATTTTCGAATTGCGTATTCTGTGATAGCGTCCTTGCTCCGTTCGTAGCGATGCCAGGGGCCCCTAGTAGCGTCCTTGTGTGAATGCTCCCAACAAACTCAAGTTCAAATTGTTTTTCCACACTGAGTCTTAAGATGTCTGGTCTACCGTTAGCTTAGCTTGTGGTTGGTGCGGACAATATGCCTTCACATGGTCTTTAGAGTTAGGAACGGTGGCATAGAGAGGGCGCGTAAAGATGCAAGTGTGGGAGAGGAAGATGTTAGAGACTGAGTAGTCCACGAAGTGTGCGGGATGTGTGCGATGGTTACTTGGTATTGAACTTAACTGAATTACTTCTTTGCACAAGAAACACAGATGCTTTAGAATAGGTTATTCTCATTTTTGTCTTCTTTTCCCTTTTGCCGTCTTTAGACCATAACTCTTTTTTAAAATTCATTTTCTACTTTCTGTGCTTGGTATATCATCTTGGTATTGGACTGCACTACTTCTTGGTATTGCCAGCACGTGCATAAAGAAACCCTGCCCAGGTGTGGAACGCCTCTCTGGTGCTTGGCCTGCGGAGGACATCACACAAATGTCACCCCTGAGGTGTTTGAGTAGCATACGGCCGTTTTCAATGACCTTGTAGGGATGGCCTCCAAGCTAATAGCGATGGCCTTAATTTAACCTACTTGCGATGGCCTCCAACCAAATATTTGCATGCAATGCAATCGGCATGTGACATGGAGTGCTCACCCCGACATGTCGGTCACATGAAACTCGGTGTTTTCCGCAATCAACTCGGGTCACAGTGGGAACAAGTGGGAGTGGAACAAGGGGGATGGACTGTCAGGTTTTAAGAACGTACTTGCGTGCGTGGTTGGAAAGCTACAATATAACTAAATTCCTAGCCCCTAGCTTTATTGTCATACAGGGTTAATGTACACATGTTCGTAGATTTGTATTTAGATGTGGCCCACACATGCTTCCACCCTTTAAAACTTCTAAAAATATATCTGGCACACCTGCAGGTGGAGCTTTTCGCATTTTTTTTAAAGGAAGATAACAGATATCACCCTGGGCCAATGAGGAGCAGCAAAGTGGCTGGTGATCTAAGAAGCGCACATGGCCAATCGCAACTGAAAAAATAGGCATTGTGCACATACATTCACTACGAAAGACCTTAGCAGCTATCGCCACAGAAAGCAGAGTTCTTGCGCCCCGTCCCGTGCCAACCTTCCTTTGCGTGATTCAGACACTTCCAACGCGGTTGCAAGCAAGTGCCACGCTACTAGTAACAGGTGCCTTACTAGTAGTAACAAGAAGCTACTAGTAACAGGTGCCACGCTACTAGTCACATGGAAGACTGACTCCAGGAGCAGCGCCTCACCCAGTCCCAGCAGGCAAGGCAAACGATCACTTGCAGATGGGATCCTGAATTGGGACACCTGTTTCTAATAGCTTCTTGTTTCTAATAGCGTGGCACTTGTTTCTACTAGCGTGGCACTTGTTTCTAATAGCTTCTTGAATGAGAAACCAATGAGAATGGTCTTTTTTTTGCATGTCATGTTTGCCATTGCATGTCATCCCTTTGAGGCAATGGCTTTTGCTGGCTTCACTCACTCATGTCAGCTGGAGTTGTCTAAGGCAGCGCAGCGATTCGCAGTGACACGTCGAGTCCAAACGACCAACGAGTTGAGTCAGGCACTCCGGAAGGCTCTGAGCCGGGATGACGCTGGTACTGCTCGTTTGGGCCGTGCTGTGACCAAGGCAGCGATGACCTCCAACCCCAGCTACTAGTAGCTTCTTGTTGCTAGTAGAGATGCCCGTGTTACTAGTAGCGATGTACTTGTTACTACTAGGGACACTTGCTAGTACAATGACAATAACATTTTGAGATTTGTGCTGTTTGAACAGCAACAGTTGCTGGATCACAAAAGTGGAGGCTTGGGCTCTGTGCTGTCGCAGTGAGTCTCTTCCTTTGCTGTATGGCACTAAGAAAGGAAGGTTTGATGAGCATTTTTTACAGAACTGGACAATGAATTCAGGGTGTTTGTATGAGTTGTATGGCACTTTGAGAGCTTAGGCGATCTCCTGGAAATTCAGGCGAGGAACATCGCATGTCATGCTTAGCTTTGACCGGTTTTTTCCGTCTCATCAGGGGATGAGATTTCGGAAGCTGTTTCTTCCTGCTCAGGCGAAGAGAAGGATTTAGAGGCCAGTGTGCTCGTCATGCCCTTGGACAGTTTTGGACTTCACATTCAACAAGAGAAACAGAAGTAAATGTACGGCTCATGTTTCTTTAGAACTTCATTATTGTTACCATTGTTTTTAAACATCTTGCTGTGCTTTAGGATGTTTTGTGTTTGTCAATCACCCAGTGTTGATTGCCTTCACATGCTTGCAAATCAAATCACAAGACCGAGGGCCCAAGACCGGGTAGCGGAACACGCAAGAGGCCATGCGCTGTGCGTTGCCCTTTTTCACGCCCTGTTTGGGTTCTTGTGCAAGCGCGGTTCTCACGAGATTTGAGTTTATTGGATTTGGACGTGGTTCGTTCCTGACACCTCAAGGTCTATTTCTTCTTCTGCCCGTTTGGCCAGGCGAGAGCGGCACGGCCTCCGGCGGAGTGCTTAATGTAGGAAGCTTGGAGCAGTGCGGGGAGTCTTTGTTCGGCTTTGTTGGATCGGATGGACTCACTCGGAAGAAAAACCAAAGATAGTAGCTTCTTGTTACTAGTAGTAAGACTGCTACTAGTAGTAATGCTCTTTGTAACTAGTACCGATGCCCTTGTTCCTAGTAGCTTCTTGTTACTTAGTAGTAAGGCCAGGAGCTACTAGTAGCTTCTTGCTCCTAGTAGCGATGCCAGGAGCTACTAGTGGAGGAGCTACCAGTGTCTTCTTCGCAAAAAAGAAAAGAACAACCAACCGGACCAGCCGCATGTTGAAGCGTTTGAAAGAAAAGATTGCGCTGAAAAGACATCGCATCAGCGTGTGCTGTGCAGCTCAGGAGAACCGGTTGTACAGATCCGGACATTACACTTTGCCGGAGCTTTGGTGTGCCCCCTTTTTTGTCCCAGACCCTTCGACCACTGTTTCGAAGGAAAAGGGCGCTATCATAGCGAAGGGTTAGGAGGGAAAGCGCCATTTTTCACGAGCCAGAGTTGGCTCATCAGAGTCTTAGAGACTTGTTGCCTCTGAGCAGTCTCAACACAGGCAGACCTTCTGAGAGGTTGCAAGTGGTTTTAGTGCTTGCACGACCGAGATGGATGCAAAATGTGAATGACGCCGGCTGTCATGTTGACCCATAGGGTCCATCGTGACCCACCTAGACCTGTGGACGCCTCCAAGCTACTTGCGGCTATGAATAGCAATGGCCTCTAACCTAGCGATGGCCTCCAGGCTACTTGCCATTGTTTCAGATGTCATGCATTCTGTGCAGCCAAGTCAGCAATGTTGCAAGAGTCTGATCCTTCAAGGATGGATCCGAAGCCAATTTCGGACGTCCCTAGAGCTAGTAGGACCACATCGCTACGAACGGAACAAGGACGCTACGAACGGGGCGCTCCTGGCATTACTACTAGGAACAAGAAGCTACTAGTAGATGCTAGTAGCACAAGTGCATCGCTACTAGTAGCAATCAAGATTCAGCCAGCACTCGATCCAAAAGGGGTCCAAGCTGAGCAAGCTGTCTCGGCAAAGGTTTGGCCACTGATGGGACATGGGCAAGCGCCCTTGCTCAGGCACTATTTGTGAGCACTATCATGAATCATGATCACATATATGCATGCCATGGATGAAAGGCAACGATGGAGAACGCCTTTTCGTGGGCGTGGACTGCCAAAGCGATCTGTTGAAAACAACAAGAACATATATCATCAGCTTATAACATGAAAATACAGCTTGTGTGAGTTCAGGGTGTTCCTTGCCAGGTAAACTTGGTTTCCTTTCAGTAGAGTATTGGTTTCTTTACAAGCAACTGGAAGTGCAAGACAAAGTACTGCAGGATTTGGGAGGAACCACCATTTCAGCTGGTCTCGTGAATGCAGAGGGCACGCTTCTTGGCATTGCGTCAGAAGCTCAGTCCCAGACGCTCGGGACACCGTTCAGAGGACCACAGTCGGGGGGGTTCAAGATCTTTGCCACTCCAAGCAAGCTTCTTGTGCAGAAAAATATTCATGGAAGCTTTATTGAACATTGAACCAACCTAATAGGAATGGCCTCCAACCTAGAGATGGCCTCCAATCTAAGAACAAAGAAAAAGAAATGGACGCTTTCTTGAATCGAAGAACATTGAAAAACAAGAAACTAGCAAAGGAGGTCAGTTCCTGGGTTTTAAGAAACGAGTTTGGAACTAGAGGCAGATGCCAGGCAAACCGGGAAACATCTAGTTTCAGGATGGCACTGGCACCACCAAGCTGTTGAATAATGCCGGTTTGTTAAGCACCCTGAACAGTGGTTTTGTTTAGGACCGGATTCAATCGTACTCATGAAAGTGCAAGTGATTGTTGTAGGCTTGTCATTGCTGGGAGCTTTTTGTGCTTGCTTGCAACCACGAAGTGGTCTATTCACAGCCTTTGGAAATCAGCCTCTGTAGTGTACCAGGTACCATGCCAGCCAAGAAAGGTGACGCGCATGCTGGTTTAGAGGGCTGACGTGTCTAAATCCAGAAAGGCAAATAATTCACAATGATCAACATGGTCCTGCGACCCTATGAAGGGGGACAAGCTCCATTGCGCACAGACTTCCTCTGGGTCCTACGCCTCGTTCTTCAGCTCACGTTTGATGAGGTTGTCACGGCACACTTTCAGCGACAATCTCCTAGTGCCCTCCCTGTTTTCCGAAGGGATTGTAGAATAAGAGGATTAAGCAGTAAGAGCTCTTACTAGGATTAAGACCTCTTTTCCTTGTCAGTAAGAACTTCACTTCATTCTGACACATGTGCAGCTTACACCCGAGAGCAGTCCCGATGAGCGGAGAAGAACGACTGGGCCCGGACAATGGGTACGGACACACGAGGAACAAAGGGCATCGCTACGAATGGGGCGCTCCTGGCCTTACTGCTAGGAACAAGAAACTACTAGTAACAAGTGCATCGCTACTAGTAACAAGTGCCTTACTAGTAGTAACAAGAACGCTACTAGGGGCTCCTGGCCTTACTACTAGGAACAAGAAACTACCAACAAAGGGCACGGTTTCTTCTTCCCAGTGTTCGGACCATCCACCGTTTGCGACCCCGACCAGATGCCTCGCTGTGAACGCGCGTGCCAGCAGGACCTGTGGACTTATGATGACTTATGGACCTATCACAGACGCAGGGTATGTAGAAGTAGGCCATGGCTATTGGGTGGAGGCCATCGCTATAAGGTTGGAGGCCATCAGAGAGGGTTTGATGCGATGTTTTCACAGTTAGCACCAAATTCGGGCGCAGGGAGGATGGGGAACCTTGCTGTACTACCCTCGGTTTGAGAGTCAATAGGTCTTGGCCCTTCTAAGACTTAAATACAAACAGAACCTTCTCTGTGCCAAGGTCTGATGCAGTCGGCGAGGATCACCGTCCACATGCCATCATTCAACGTATCCGCGCTCTGGTCGAGGCACGGCCGGACTTGTCGCTTGAACCGATCGCTTTCGACTCCCACCCCCAAGCCCCAAGAGATATAAGACAGGGCCGTATCAATACACTTCTGCTACACTTGATCCATTTCACAAGTTTAGATGACGCTTCACTGGACATCGGGCTTGACCAACCGATCTCACCACACAAATCACCGCTTGATTTTCACTTCCACTCAGCATGCCACAGGTCGCCCCGTCCTAAACAATCATTTCCAACTCTCGCGCCGCCGTCATCATACAAGCAACGCTTCCTGTAGTTTTAACTGTGAAACATTCACCAGCCTTCCCAGAGGTTGCATCCTGTGATCTGTTTTTTTGACAGGAATGGACTTCCCAGTCCCTTTTCTACAATTCTGGACAAGCGACGTGTCTTTAGCTTCATGCGCTTTTTGTAGAACCAAACCCAGCTTTGAAGTTAGTATGGCCTGTTCCTACTTGGAGCCTAGCAATGAGGATTGTTGCGAAGGCAGCATTCTGGTTGGTGATGGCCAAACCTTTCAAGGCCTTCATTGTGAGTCAGCTGAGGCTAAAATCCTCGCTGGAAGTTCGTGCTGTTTTCAACCTCTTTGTGGGTCTCCAAACCTCTGAATACTGCGATACCCCACGCATCATTCAATATTGGGCAGAGCGGCGAAGTCTTCAGAGCGAGTCACAATGTGACATTAACATGAACTAGGGGCAAGCGGCTGATGTTGCTTTCAACCCACCCACTTTCGGTGTTACAATCCCAGTATCGAAGACTGTGATCCACCAAGTCCCGCAATCTTGGGCGGTGTTGTTTGGTGTTTATTTTGCATGAAGTAACAAGTGCATCTCTACAAGTAACCAGTGCATCGCTACAAGTAACCAGTGCATCGCTACAAGTAACCAGTGCATCGCTACAAGTAACCAGTGCATCGCTACAAGTAACAAGTGCATCGCTACAAGTAACAAGTGCTTCGCTACTAGTAGCTACTAGTAACAACAGCATGACGTCATCAGGCATCCTCTTGTAAATATATCGATATGTATATATATATAGAGTTGTTACATATGTTGCAAAAGTAAAAGCATCCATAGATTTGGATGATTGGTTTTCTACAAAACATGGACGGCCTACATCTCCTTTAGTCTTTATACAAACTTGCTTTTGGACCACCTCGTCAGATTATATATAGATTGCCCGCAGGTCAAATGAGGTAACTCAACAGACTCATAGCCGGGGTTTCAGCAGACTCATACGCCACCATGGTTCTGTAATGGAACTTTGTAGTTCTGCGCTGCGAACAGTGGGAGCGACGGCCTCCAACCTAAGAGCGATGGCCTCCAACCTTAAATAGCGTCCAAACGCTCCGTTCGTAGCGATGGCCTTTGTTCCTAGTAGCTTCTTGCTTGTAGTAGTATGGCCAGGAGCCCCTAGCGGCGTCCGATCGCTCCTACTAGCGATGGCCTCCAACTGCAGCAACATTGAGTCTGAGTTGAGCTTTTTGAGCACGAGGGAGTCGTGATGTGCGACAGGTGGTGCTGCGAGGCAACAGCCGAACGCTGGAGGAACCCTGTTTGCCTTCGACGTCGTGCGTAACCGTTCGATGAGAAGGGCTTGAGAGAGGGTGGATGGGTCACAAGCAACCAAACTAATTGCGATGGCCTCCAACCTAATAGCGAGGGGTCTCACGCAACCTTCTCCGAAGCTACGTTGCCAACCAACATCTATTTGACACGCTGAGCAGTTCACATCTGTTTCGAGGGGCAAGGCAAGCAGCACTCCCAAAAGGGCATCGCTACGTTCGTAACCAGGGCATTACTACTAGTAGCAAGAAGCTACTAGTAACAAGGGCATCGCTACGTTCGTAGCTTCTTGTTACTAGTAGTATTACCCTTGTTACGAACGTAGCGATGCACTTTCTACTAGCCAAGTGTCTCTGCAGGTGTTGCAGCACCAAACTGTTTGAGTTGGTTTTCAGGACCTCGAGGCCTTGGGAGTGCTGCCCTCAGCGGGAGAGAAGCAGGAGTGCTTGGCCTCCACGCATTTACCCTCATGAGTCAAGTGCTCTGGATGCTCATGATGCTCATGTGACTTGAAGACTTTCTCCTTCAAGCTGCCTTTTGCTTTGTAGTGCGATCCAATGCGGTTCGTTCAGTCAGGAGCCAGTTCCGTCCCCTCTTTGCATGTGTGGAGGTCGTGCTGAGGTGACCAGGTGTGCCTTGCTGGGAGGGGGATGTAAGGACGAGCTGTTCAGAACACGGCGTCGGTGCGCGGAGGGTGTGACCGCTGTGTCGACCAACGCCAAGACACAGCGTCACCGTTTTTTTGGCGCCAAAAACCATGTGACACGTTGATCTGCTTCAAAAGCATTTCAGACAAGGCTGTGGGTAGATCATTGACGGGCACAACAGGACCTTATACTAAGCATATACTTCAAAACGCAACTTGCCCCATATATTTGAACATGTAGGGGGAGGGAGGAGAGCCGGAGGAACAGTAGGAGATGGGGTCATCGGGCAGCTGTACTGCGTATCTTGCGTTCGGCAACGCTGTTTCTTAATTCTTCTGGATCTTTACACACTTTGGCGGCTGGCGCCCTATAGGTACAAGTATATATGTATTTTGCTTCCAACATCTTTGGTTCAGAGATTGATGTTTGTTTGTGTGTGTGCAGGTTGTGCGGTTGCTTATGGCATGTCAATCACGAAAGCGAGCTGCGAAGGAGGTTTGGTGAAGTTCTCCTTTACGAGGGTGTTGGAATCGATAGTTCAAGGGTAGATTTCACACATTTACAAAGGGTCCCCGCACCCAGATGCCCACTCGCGCCCACTTGTGCAATAGAATCAATTGGGACCCGCCCCGTGCCACCCTGATATCTTGATTCGGTAGTGATTTGGTTCTCGCGTTTGTCCCCGCCTCCCAATGTCATATTTTGCAGATTGGTTCGTTCCTTTCTTGGCTGGCTTGCTTGCTTGCTTGCTTTGCTTTCCTTTTCTTGGCTTGCCTGGCTTGTGTGCCTTGCTTGGCTGGCTTGGTTGCATTGCTTGTCTGCTTTGCTTGCTTTGGACTCCGGATTGCTTGCTTAATTGCTTCCTTGCTAAACGCAAACCCAGATCCAGACATGGACAGAACCAAAGCAAGAGGGCTGTGCAGGAAAGGGGAACCAACAGCAGTTTATAACCAAACAAAAAACAGAAAGAACCTTTGCAGGAAAACCTGACAGAAGCACATGCGAACGCAATTCTGTAACCATATTGGCCGACAAACCTGAAAACACCAACACGCAAAGAAAGGCCAAGGAACGAAAGCCATACATTTCCAAAAGAACAGAAACAAGAACCGATGTAAATAGAAAGTAGTAATGGAACCAGCCGAAAGAGAGGCAAGAGCAGCAAGACAATAGCGTATTCAAGAGCTTCACAACAAACATCCTATGATCCGCAATCATGCAGTTGGGTCAGTTTGCTGAACAACCTGCGCTATAGAAGACAAGTGTATGCCGAAAACAGCATTCCTCAAGTGGTTCCGAGGTTTGCACACCAGGCCTCATGGACTCACGTTCTGGGGTCGTGCAAGCTGCTGCGAATCTGCGTGGGTGGCGAGAGGCGATCGACAGATGTTGGCCATCGCTAGTAGGTTGGAGAGGAAGACAACGGAGGTGCTTCGGTCCCTTCAATCAGGCCTTTTTGAACCTGCGCCTTAAAAAAGGGACCCAAACACCTTTCTAACCACAATCTGTTTTCTCTTCCCCTAGAGAGATCCTTGTAGCAGAGTAAGCAAGAAAGAAAGAGAAGACTCGCCCTACTCGTCCGTGCGTTGGTGTTTTTGCTTCGCCTTCATCACATCGGGACCTGTGCGCCTTCACATCGGTTTGGAGGTCCCTTTGGTTGAGCTTCTGGCAGAGGAGCCGATGAGCGAAGGGACATGCCCCAGGAGGTTTGACAACAATTTCTGGCAGAGCAGAGAGGAAGTTTTCAAGAACACATTGACATGTTGCTGGAATGAAGGGTGGAGTGATGAGGCGATTTGTGAAGTGGCGAAGTCATGACTTGTGGTGTGCACTGTTGTACTGGTGATTTCTCACGGGTAGAATTCTACTTTTCTAATTGTGGGTGCGGCTGGCGCAGCGGTTTGACAGCCCGGAGAATGTTGCCGGTGAACACGTGGTATGTTTCTGCCTGTAGTGGCTAGTGATGGTCAGTGTGCAGCGCTGCCAACGTCACATGCGTTACATATTCTATACCAGTAGCATGAGGATTATTGATCCCTCAATTTATTCCATATAATATGATGCTCAGTGTACTCTACTGTCTACTAAGAATGTGTGAAAGCCGGAACAACATGCTCCACTTAAATTCTGCGAGCAATCAGACAACCTTCCATTGAGACAGCCATGCGGTGCTCCCATGGAGCTTCTCAAACAAATCCTGTGATAAGAGCAGAGATGGACCCTTTTACTACTAGGAACAAGAAGCTACTAGGGGCTCCTGGCATCGCTACTAGGGGCTCCTGGCCTTACTACTAGGAACAAGAAGGTTGGCCTTTTCTTTTGTTTTCCTTTGGCGCCAGGAGTTTCACTGGGAAGCGTCCAAAGTGACTTTGGAGAACGACACCAACGCTGCGTTGCTTGCAGAGGTCCGGACACCAAAAAGGACTTTTTGCCAAAGAAGAACTTCGAGAAAGGTCTCTTCAGAAGGAAAAGGGAACACAGAAAGAACAGGGTCCGAAGAAAGAATAGAAAGAAAGGAGGCCATCGTTCGTAGGTAGAGGCCATCGCTCGAAGAAAGCGCACCGATGCGACGGCCTTGGAGGCGTGGACCGGCGCAGCGGCAGGAATCAAACACGTCGGGGGCTTCAGAGAAGAATGTCTTCATCACTAGACACTGCAGAATGTCTTCATCATAGGGCAACAACAATTTTGCTTACTTTTAAAGACACTGCTTGGGAACTTTCAGATCGTGCTCTTGACGATTGGAACTGGAATTGGTGGTGCCATCATGCACGCGGCCAAGCAGGGTTGAAGTTGGTGAGAGGCCATCGCTAGTAGGTTGGAGGCCATCGCTACTACTGCAAGGTGCGATGGCCAGCTGCTTCGGGGCAGCAAGGGCCAAGCTGGTGAAATAGGCCGAAACAGCAGCCAGTGAAACACATGTGATGGTATGGCCTTTCTTGTTTGCGAAACGTAGATGAGGTAGACCGTTTCGTGACTGAAGTAGTTAAGTTTCCCATACATTTAGGAACCAAATCAATGATGCAAGCCTGAGCGCTTCTGCGTCCAAGCCTAGGCTATTTCTTTTAGCTTATTGCTCGTGTTACTTATTACTGGTTACGGCCTACCCCCCTCCACCAGTAATTGCATTTACTTTTAATAACATAAGCTCCCTGGAATAATCATCATGGAAGTGGAAGATGGTTTGTTTTTGGGCTGGGTTTTAATTCTGCCCTGCAGGTTTTTTTTTTTCCGCCCTGTGCAGTCCTGGTAGTTTCCGCCCTGGAGGCTTGTGCCCTGCAGAGGTTTCTGTTCCTGCCCTGCGGAGGTTTCTTTTCTGCACTGCCAGGGTTCCGTTTCCACCCTGCGCAGGCACCCTGTGCAGGGTTCTCCCTGTGCAGGGTTCTTTTTCCACCCTGTGCAGGGTTTCTTTCCTGCCCTGCAGGGGTTTCTTTCCTGCCCTGCAGGGGTATCCTTTCCATCCTGAGGAAGGTCCTCGTCGAACTGCAGGAGTCACTTCTTGACCCTACGAGGGCTTTCCTTTCCACCCTCGGTTTTCTGCTTTGCAAGTCTTTTTTGCCCTGCAGGGGTTTCTTTTCCTGCCCTGCAGGGATTCTTTCCTGCCCTGCAGGGGTTTCTTTTCTGCTTGCAGGGTTTTCTGCCCAAAATTTCTTTCTGGCACTGCAGGGGTTTCTTTCCTGCCCTGCTGGGGTTTCTGTTCTGCCCTGCAGGGGTTTCTTTCCTGCCCTGCAGGGGTATCCTTTCCATCCTGAGGAAGGTCCTCGCCGAACTGCAGGAGTCACTTCTTGACCCTACGAGGGTTTCCTTTCCACCCTCAAGGGTTTTCATTTCTGCTTTGCAAGTCTTTTTCGCCCTGCAGGGGTTTCTTTTCCTGCCCTGCAGGGTTTCTTTCCGGCCCTGCTGAGGTTTCTTTTCTGCCCTGCAGAGGTTTCTTTCCTGCCCTGCTGGGGTTTCTTTCCTGCCCTGCGGAGGTTTCTTTTCTGCACTGCCAGGGTTCCGTTTCCACCCTGCGCAGGCACCCTGTGCAGGTTCTCCCTGTGCAGGGTTCTTCTTCCACCCTGTGCAGGGTTCCTTTTCCAGGGTTCTTTTCCACTCGGCGCAGGATTCCTTTTTTCGCCCTGTGCCGGATTCCTTTTCCACCCTGTGCCCTGTGCAGGGTTCTTTTTCCACCCTGTGCAGGGTTCCTTGTCCACCCTGCGCAGGCACCCTGTGCATTTTCTGCCCTGGGGTTTCTTTCCTGCCCTGCAGGGGTATCCTTTCCATCCTGAGGAAGGTCCTCGTCGAACTGCAGGAGTCACTTCTTGACCCTACGAGGGTTTCCTTTCTGCCCTGTGTGTTTCCTTTCCACCCTCAAGGGGTTTTCTTTTCTGCTCTGCAAGTCCTTTTTGCCCTGCAGGGGTTTCTTTTCCTGCCCTGCAGGGTTTCTTTCCTGCCCTGCTGGGGTTTCTTTTTTTTGCCCTGCAGAGGTTTCTTTCCTGCCCTGCTGGGGTTTCTTTTCTGCCCTGCAAAGGTTTCTTTCCTGCCCTGCGGGGTTTGTTTTCTGCCCTGCAGGGGATTCTTTCCTGCCCTGCAGGGTTTTTTCTCCTGCCCTACAGGGGTTTCTTTCCTGCCCTGCAGGGGGTTTCTTTCCTTCCCTGCGGAGGTTTCTTTCCCGCCCTCCAGGGGTTTGCCTTTTGCCCCGTAGGGGTTTGTTTTCTGCCCGTTTCCAGTCCACCCTGACCAAGGTCGGCGTCGCACTACCGGAATCCTTGAATAGTCAGGATCGTATCTATGTGGGGTTGCTCACTTGAACTCCAAGATCACACGTGGGTCGTGCAGTGGAACCATGGTGTAATTGAAGCCTTTCACTTCTCTTGGAGATGCCGTTGGGCTTTCGACATAGGCGACCTCCTGTCAGGGTGATGTTCATGTTCTCCGCCAGTCCTTACATAGACAAACCAACGTCAGAACTAACCTATAGCATCCTATAGCCTTAGCTATAAATAGATTTTGAATATCAGAGGCAGCCTAAAGCCTATAGCTATAAGCTTTGAAAACAAGAGCAATTTTTTTGACAGTAGGACCGTGGACTTTGAGGGCACACTAGATGGAAATGTCTAGGTCTTGACTTTAGGTCCAGTGTCCAGCTGTCGCCGCAATGGAGCACAAGGGACGTCTGCAGGCTTAGGGCTGTGGGGCCACCGGCAAGGCACCTCTGGACGCCTGTCGGCTATTTGCTTGACGATAGGGGTAGTACATCAGATACTGGCAAAGCACCTCTGCGTACGGGGGGTTCCATAGCAGACAGTCACTCCGTCGACCATGTCACGGCCTCTCTGTGAGCAGGATGATTGACCCAGAGGCAAGGCGGCTGAGCCACTGGCAGGGCGCCTCTGCGTAGTGGGGGACAAAGCGCCTCTGCGTACTGGGGCTCCGTAACACGATAGCTAACGCAGGAGATATGGACAGGTAGGGCTGTTGAGCCACTGGCCAGGCACGCTACGCAGCAAGGTTTTGGACGCGGTATACCGGGCAGATCCGTGACACGGTAGCTACCTACTCAGACACGTTTTCACGTGCAATTGGCACCTCTGCGTAGTGTGGTTTTTGCTAGACCTATAAGGGTAGGGCTGCGGAGCCACTGGCAAGGCACCTCTGCGTATACTGAGATGTTTTTGGATGGGATAGTCACTGCAGGGGTTAGGGCTGTTGACCATTTTATAGGCCTCTGTGAGACACGTCAATGTGCGGGTGTTGGGTCACGGTCACGCGCGCGCATCGCTGTATGCGGCTCCATGACGCATCTTGCGCGACCAGATATACAGACGCCGCCAGACGGAGAACATGTCAGACAGTGAGTGAAAACACGAGAGCCACATGAATGACACCGTGGGAACTTGAAGACAGAGGTTTGTGCGCGGCAGTGCGTTTGTGGCTCAAGGTTTTGTGAGACAGCAAGATTTTTGTCAGATCGCTGGCTCTTGCCGCCTTTCTTTGCCCAATGTGGAAAAGAACGAGCCCTGCACAGGGTAGAAAGAGAACCCTGCACAGGGTGCCTGCACCCGTGTGGACAAAGAGCCCTGCGCAGGAAAACAGGGCAGAAAAAGAACCCTGCGCAGGGAGAACCCTGCACCGGGTGCCTGCGCAGTGTGGAAAACGAAGCCTGCGCAGGCGGAAAAGGAACCCTGCACAGGGTGGAAAAGGAACCCTGCGCAGGGTGGAAAAAGAACCCTGCGCAGGGTGGAAAAAGAACCCTGCACAAGAACCCTGCACAGGGTGGAAAAGGATCCCTGCGCAGAGTGGAAAAGGAACCCTGAAAAAGAATCCTGCACAGGGTGGAAAAGGAACCCTGCACAGGGAGAACCCTGCACCGGGTGCGAAGCCTGCACAGGTGGAAAAAGAACCCTGCGCAGGGTGGAAAAAGAACCCTGCGCAGGGTGGAAAAGGATCCCTGCGCAGAGTGGAAAAGGAACCCTGAAAAGGAATCCTGCACAGGAGGGTGGAAAAAGAACCCTGCACAGGGTGGAAAAAGAACCCTGCACAGGGTGGAAAAGGATCCCTGC